TTATAAACTTTCAAGGAAATGAATTATACCAAAAACTAGTGAGCTTGGAAAAGGACCCTAAACTTAGGTGATAATCAGTCTATGCTGACACTTTGATTTCAGCGTGGTGAAGACTCTGAGCAGACAACACAGCCACTCCATGCTCAGATTTCTGATCTACAGAAAAAGTGTGAGATAATAAATTTATATTATTTTAAGCTATCACATTTGTAGTAATTTGTTATGCAGTAAAAGAAAACTAATACACTCTCTTATGTTCAAGGAGGTGGAGGAAAACAGAAACATGATGGGAGGAGAAATGGAAGATATAAATAAGACTTAAACTACTAGAGATGAAAATAAAACATGTGAAGTGAGATATTTACCAAATGGCTTAGTTAACAGCATATTAAATACTGAAAAGTATTTAAGCTGTGGATTTGAAGGTAAAGCATTAGAAATTATCCAAAATAAAACAAGAAAGACTGAGAGAACAAACAAAACAAAGACAAAGTAAGAAAACCTCGGTGTCCTATAGGGTAATCTCAAGTTATATAACATACTTGCAAGCTTAATCCCCAAAAGAGGAGGGGTCAGAAAAAATATGTGGAGAATAAAGACCAAAATTATCCAAATTTGATGAAAACCATAAACCCACAGAACCAAAAATCTCAGCAACCCTTCAGTAAAAGAAAAATGAAGAAAACTGCACCAACACATAACAAAACCAAATTGCTGAGAATCAGAGAAAAAAGGGAAAAATATTTTCTTTAGTTAGTTAGTTTTATTCTCATAAAATATATTTATTAAAGTATCACTATCAACATAGTACAATAAAATAGTACATAAAGGGAGACAATTTAATTGATGCCACCAACCAAGTCATCATGTATCCTACAAGAAAAATATACTTCTAAGCATTAATAAATGATCATTACAATAAAAATAAAGATACACAATAAAAGGAAAGATATACCATGCTCAAGAACTGGAAGAATTAACATTGTTAAAATGTACATGCCACTATTTTTTTTATTTAAATTCAATTAGCCAACAAAGTACACAAAATATACATCATTTTCAGATGTATGTTCAATAATTTATCAGTTGTGTATAACACCCAGTGCGCATTACATCACTCACCCTCCTTAGTGCCCATCACCCAGTTTCCCCACCTCCCCACCCATCTCCCCTCCAGCAACCCTCAGTTTGTTTCCTATGACTAAGAGTCTCTTACGGTTTTTCTCCCTCTCTGATGACTTCCCATTCAGTTTTCCCTCCCTTCCCCTATGGCCCTCTGTGCTGTTTCTTACATTCCACATATGAATGAAACCATCGAAACCATTTGATAATTGTCTTTCCCTGATTGACTTATTTTGCTCAGCATAATACCTTCCAGTTCCATCCACGTCAATGTAAATGGTAAGTATTCATCCTTTCTGATGGCTGAGTGGTATTCCATTGTATATATATACCACATTTTTATCCATTCATCTGTTGATGGACATCTCAGCTCTTTCCACAGTTTGGCTGTTGTGGACATTGCTGCTGTGATTATTAGGGTGCAGGTGCCCCCTCGGATCACTACATTTGTATCTTTGGGGTAAATAGTAGTACAGTTGCTGGGTCATAGGGTAGCTCTATTTTCAACTTTTTGAGAAACCTCCATACTGTTTTCCAGAATGGCTGCACCAACTTACATTCCCACCAACAGTGTAGGAGGGTTCCCCTTTCTCTGCATCCTTGCCAACATCTGTCATTTCTTGACTTGTTAATTTTAGCCATTCTGACTGGTGTGAGGTGGTTTCTCATTGTGGTTTTGATTTGTATGGGAAAAATCTTTAAAGCAAAGTTTTAAAAGGTAATTGTATACAGGAACAAATAAAATAATGGCAGCCAGCGTCTCATCAAAAATTTTGCAAGCCACTGGACAAAAGAGCAACATCTTTAATAAAGTACTGCAAGGGGAAATAAACTTGTCATTCTAGAATTCTATACCCGGCAAAAAAATCTTTTAAAAGTAAAGGTGATGGGGTATTGAGGAGGGCACATTCTGCATGGAGCACTGGGTGTTATGCACAAACAATGAATCATGGAACACTACATCTAAAACTAATGATGTAATGTAGGGGATTAACATAAGAATAAAAAAAAAAAAGAAAGAAAAAAGGCCCAATTTGGCTTTCCACTTATAGAGGGAAAAAAAAGATGTGGCATATATAC